TTTCTGCTTTTATAATTATTTTTTGCAGGGCCTCATTAATGAATATTGAACGCTTGTGTTTGACGCGCTAGATGTTGTGTTCATAAATCCACCTTTTCTGTCAAGCTACTCCAAAACTAAAACCTTGGTTTCTTGCTTGACAAGCAAATACAAAAATCAAACATAAGAGGAGACTTCCTTCCTTTTCCCCCTTAGTATTTTTCTACCGTATTGACACTGCATTTGATAAACAATATGAAGTAACCGTCAAGACCGTATCAGCTACCAGGTCTTAGTAATGAGGGGAAAATCAGGCAAGCCAGACCAAGACGTGACTGGTTGGGAATCAAAACAAAATTGGCAGTCTTATCAAAAATCATCCACGTCTCTTCTCTCTGGCTGCTGGGTGTTGCATTTGGTCGGTTGATTGATGTGTCGCTGCTCAAGGCAGGCTGCTGGGCTGTGACACGCTCAGCGAGGCAGCTTGCTGTCGTTGCGCAGCCCTCAGGCTCGACTTGCTGCCTGTACAAGCCAGGGCTGCTCCGACGCTGGCTCCGGCGAGCTGCAAGCGTGCAGACATCTGAGGTAAACTTGGATCTCTGGCACTGTTGACTCTGCTTATCAGCGCCGTGTTAGGTAATAAGGATGTGCAGCAATAGCTGCATTTACCTAGAGGTTATAAGAACTGGTGCTGTTCTCCACCCAGAACAGTAATGGGGTGGTTTTGTGACAGAGCGAAACCAAACTCTGGTATGACTTTGTTCTCCTCTGACCTGGGGCAGATGGTTCCTGTCCCTGCCACAGCCACCCCACGGCAGCATTTCCCAGCCCCTGCTAATCCTCCTTCCACCATGATGACTGACTGGGATCAGCAGCTCCCCAGTAGGTATTTTGTTTTCACTTTGACTTTCACGAGCCTCACAGAGGCACCTCATGCTCTCACACCTCAGTGATAATAATTCAATGCGCAACAAAGAAAGGGGTAAGAGAAACGGGTAAATTCACGAATGGGCAGCCAGCCATTTCCTTGTGTCAGTGCACGAAACTCTTCAAAGGTAGCGATATCTCTAATTAGTAAGTAGCAAGATGCAACAAGTCTGCAATAATGTACAGAATATTATAATGTCTCAGTTGACGTCAGAAGCATGAAGTGAGATACCCGTGGCCCTTCTGACGGAGGAAAAATGCTAGTAAATGCAGCAGAATGCAGTTTTTCACCAGACTCCAAGGAATAGTTGGTGTATGGATGTTGGAAATCAGCATTTTTCATAATGCTCCCACGTTTGAAATGTCCTGACCCTAGAAATAGAGTATAAAATTCATTCCAGGAGGATAAACCTCACAAAAGTAATAGATGCTTGTTTTCTTTATCAGAATCCCTCAATTATGAAAAAGTGACAAATAGATAATACGGCTAGGTTCAGCTGAATTAACATGCGTTTAAATTGACTGAAAAATAACGTTCCTTTCCCAGTCAGAAAAAAATGACACAGTACAGGTGCTCAAAAAATGCAACACATCTCTGACGTTGAAATGATTGTTGTCTTTCCACAGCAGCTTCTTGAAAATGTCATGTGAGATTAGATCTGTACGCCGTTGTGTTGGTAAGCGGACGAGCCCCCTGCAAAGGGCTGTCTCCGTTCCAAGAGCTCACAGTCCCAGGCAAGGTTTTCAAAGACAACTGCTCATTTGTGATACCTTTTAAAAAGATCTTACTTTCAGAAAGCGCTGGGTACGTCCTGTTAGAAGAGCAGGGTCCTTAGAGAGGTCTCCAGCTGGGCACCAAAAATTATATAGGTGATGAGGAAGAATAAGCGCTTCTAAAACCCTGTCCTCAAAAGACCAAGTGAGAAGAAAGGGGCTCGATGACCACTAAATCCTCTGTTTGCTCGCTCTGAATGGAGAGCTTAACAGAATTACTACTGTTCCCTTGGCTGGTGTCACCGGCTGTACCCAGGCTGGCTCTGTGAGGTGTCCTGCACGGCTCCAAGCCGCGGAGCTGCCTCTGCGGCAGGCACGGAGCTCAGGTTGGGATCGGTCTCCATCTCTCTTTGTTCACAGGTTTCTGTCTGAAGGGCCAGCTGGCTCATTTCAAGCTTCAGCACAAGTACAAGCCAGTGGCTGGGGCAATGTGGATGACAGGAATTTCAGCACGAGTGCAGTCCTGAGACCTGAACCTGACCTGATATAACTAGCCAATTTACCCATTTTATTTTAGTCCTGCTATGGACTGGAAAATGGTATTTTCCATTGCTTGGGAGAGCTTTTCAAATTTTCCCTTCTTTGCAGCAGATGAGCTATTTAACCTCTAAAAAACCTCCTGTTTCTCCTGTGTGAGACAGGCCCATTTCTGTTGATGCTACAGAGATGGGAGATATCCTCCAGTTCACCTGGAATCAAACACTTTTGAGGTGAGGTACCAGATTGTCTCTCTCCAAGTTTAAAACTTCCCCCCCCAGATTTCCCTTTTCTCTTCAGACATGCTTAATGTCACCATTGCTTTCTTTTCTGTCCTGGGGGATGCAGTCAGTTATCTGTCTAGACCAGCTGAAGGCTCAAAACCTTCCCGTATGTTCTTGCACGGAATAAAACAGTTGCTGGGTCCCAAACGTGCGTCTTTCTCAGGCCACTGCTGACGTGGGTAACTCATGTAGTAGGTGATGGTAGGTGGTGGATCATTGCACTAGAGAACTTTGAGAATAAAAGCAAGGCAGCTGTAAAAACAGAAATCAAAAGTAGCACTGCAATCAGGTGAACGTGCCCATGTAAGGAAGAAATAGCTAGGGAGACTGGTTTTTATTGTTCCTTTATTTCATAGGACATACTTACACTGAGGGGTGAAGTGCTCATGGCAGGGTGTGGGGTTTTTTTAATGTCATTCAACGTTCTTCCAGCACCTACTGATTTAACATCCCATCCTTTCCCCGCTCAGCCTTCATGTCCATTGCTACAAGAGCTTGGGGTTGGGAGAGGCAAATATGGGCAAACTGACAGCTTGGCAGAGGCAGGCAGCCCACACCCCGCAAAGCAGAGCCCACCGGGCATGATTTTGAAGGGATGAGAAGCAGAAATCCACTGGCAGCCTGAGTTTCAACAGATGTGAACGCTCCCTTGGCAGCATCAGTATCCTGTTAGCTTCACAAATTGGAATCTGGCCCAAAAACCCCAACAATCCAGCTGTTCCCACACATACAGCCACGTACGTTCATGCAAGAAGCAGGACGTCAGCTGGAAAGGGTGCAAAGCCAACACGGATGAGTCCCGTCCCAGCACCACCCTGGTCAGAGATCTGATCAGTAGCAGTGGTGATGGGTGAGGGCTCTGTGAGAAATAAAACTGTGTCCAAACAAGTTGAAGTTGTCCTTCCCCTCTACACTGCCCTAGTGAGGTCTCATCTGGAGTACTCTGTCCAGTTCTGGGCTCCCCACTTCAAGAAAGATGAGGAGCTACTGCAGAGAGTCCAGCGGAGGGCTACGAGGATGGTGAGGGGACTGGAACATCTCTCCTACGAGGAGAGGCTGAGGGAGCTGGGCTTGTTTAGCCTGAAGAAGAGAA